ACAGCCGAGTCATTCAAAGTTCAACGACTTCCTATTCAAACACACATAATAGAGAAAGATCAATTGAAACAACTGGAAACGAGTTAAACGAATTCAGAATAGCGGCAAATTAATTGCCGTAATTCTTTCGGCAAAATTTTAGCGCTCTTTTAATCTCTTGTTTGCGTAAGCAAGCCGAAAATGTAGTTCAACGAGGCGATTATAAAGCTGACCCAACACATTACCGGCTGCATGTATCATCTGATACTTAACCCTCCAAACGGAGAGAGAAGCACTCGTATAATGCAATTATAGATCGACTTTTTATCATTGGTGTTTGATAGAATATTCATTTCATGCATACACAATTACGAATTAGTTTCACATTATCCTTTTACCGGTTAATTACATTTTGTAATTCAAATTCGTACTTTATATTATTGAATCGACTAGATTTTTATTTTAATAAAGGATTGATTGAGTATTTCAAGGACTGACGAAATATTTTAGCTACTTCCGACAGTCGCTAATACCTGCTGAAAATATTAATATTGAGATAATCTGATATTAAATAATTCTGAGAAGAGCAAGTTCTTTTTTACGACTGCAGCACTCGAAATGAACAAGTCGGCATGAAGTAACGACTTATTGCACCAGAACAGGTGAGCATGGCTTTCATGGTGTCTCTTCCAAGTTCAATAGAACTCGTAGGGTTAATATGAAAGCGAAATTCCGACTCGGGATGCGAGGCCGAAGTAGCGCTTCAGGTCGACGACGTCAACAACGTCACGCCACGTCACGTCACGTCACGTCACGTCACGTCTCGTCACGTCTTAACGAACGATACCGATCGACCTGAGACGCCCTGCCGTCTGGTACCAACTCCACGACGGTCTGGCGGAGATCCAAGGATCTCAAGCACGCGCAGCCGCGCGGGTGCGTCGACTCGGTCCGGCTCTTCCGATTATTCCTTGCCCAGCCGAGGAAGGCAGGAAGGCGTCCAGTCAAGTGTAACCGACGAGACTCTAACGAGTACGGGAGAGGACTTCGGAAGCCTCTCCCGGGGGCCAGGTATCGAGTATCGCGGCCCGACACCCCGCGGCACGCCTTTAAGAGTATCGACGTGGCCCCGCCGCATTTTTCGGCGCGTTCGTCCTCTCACGGGCCGGGATGAAGGGAGCGAGATCCACTTAGCACGCCGCTTAGACGCGAAAACATCTGTATTGTCGCTGCATTAGCGCCGTGAACTCGTCCCCCGCCTCTGCCTCTCCCTTCCCTGCCTCTCCTCGCCCGGTGATTGCCGGAGAAATTGTGATCTTTCACGTGGAAGCCGCCCCGCCGGGAGAGCTCTATGGAGCGAACGTTCTCCGAGTGTAGAGAATCTCATCGTCATTCGTGCAGGATCTCGCGCGAGAAATCGCCAAACCAACGGAACGGGCCCGTAAAGCCCGTAGGTATGCGCGATTCATGTCTCCGCGCTTGATTCAGATTCATCCTGTTCTCGAGAAATACTCCGCTAGTCTGCCGTCGGTGCAAACCAGGCATTTCTGCACCTGGCATTTCACGCCCAAAGGCACGAGTACCACCCCGGTATATCCGAGTATCCAGGAACTAAAGGATTAATTAATTCTTACAATCCGGACGACTTTGACAGTTTTTGAAGTAGAATCTTTCTGCTATATGGTAAAAAATATGACACCCCGCCGCGCCACTAGTAGCTTTCTGGATTGCGAGGATTCAGAACCTCACCGTATGTTAACGTAAATACACCCCAAAAAAACATAATTTGACTCATAGCGGAATTCACTTGCGTTACGATCTCAAGAGAAGATTTTCCTAAAACTTCAAAAACCATTCTAACACTAAAAAAGAAACTCTAGTTGCAAAAAGTGCTTTTCCTATAATCCCATATTCTAAGCAACGACTTTTGCTGAAAGTGTTGTTTTAATGAAGTGGAATAATATTGCGCTTGGAATATTTTTCTTTTAATTTTAGAAGGATCCTCTTCAGGCCACCTATAATAGTATTCCGCTAAAGATGAGATCATATTTCTTTGGGTATATATTCACTTTGTCAATTTGTGTATAGAAGTATTAAGGTAAGATGAACGCGCGCGCAAACATTGATATTTCATCATTCACTTTGCGTTGACTTTAATTGCTTTTATGCGTAAAATGACTTAGAGAGAATGAATAAGAAGAAATGGTAAGAGTAAATCATTTCATATTACTTGGGCTGTGAATACTCGGGGGTACCCCTGGATACCCAGAATTGGCTACCCGAAACGGTGACTTGAAGCGCGTTCCAAGTGAACTCATTTAACTTTGTCGCCTCTCTTTCTCGTTCTCTCCTTTTCTACCTGTGTATGCTCTCCTTTTCCAGAAAACAACTCATTCATAATTCATAGCGGACTCGCGACGTGACTGGAGCTCGCATCAGTTTCAAAATAAACTCGTTTAACTCGGTACGCTCCGCGTCTCGTCGAGGCGGCGATTTGCTCGGCAGCGAGCTACGGGCGCGCGCAAAATCGCAAAAAGACCATCAGCAGATCAAGAGATATATTAGCGATGGCCGGTTCCCAGTCCGCTTCGTTCCATCGTGATCCGCCGGCTAATAAAATTCACGACATACCGCCGCACAATGGCGGTGTCCGCTGCCCGAGAAAAGAGGGATGTGAGATCTTCCTCTTCACATTCTCTCCTCCCGGCAGATCCTCTCGCAGGTTTCTCCCTCTTGTGCGCGCGCGCGCGCGACATCTCAACGTCTTCTGGAGTTCTAACAACGACCTAAACCGGCCGGATAGGGTGGGTTCGTATAGGTAGGTAGCAAAAGATAGATAAAGTACACGTACGGATCGCACAAAATGTGGGATCCGGTTCGCCGGATCGGGCGTGCGATTAACGTACGGATTAGGATTAAGCTTGGCGCGGATCTCGCTGCGCTCGAATGGACCGCACGGGGATGCACATCCCGGACGGACAGACGGACGGACGGACGGACGGATGGACGGATAAATGGGTGGAGGAAGAGGAAGAAGAAGAGGAGCAGCAGCAGCAGCAGCAGCAGCAGCTCGTCGATGGAGGGGTGGGTAGGGCAAGGGGCTATAACCCCAAACAGGAGGGCGAGGTACTTACAATGTCCGCGCTACGTACGCACCCCTTAACGGGCGAGGAATCTTTTCACGCTCGATTCTCCGCGATACGCGACCCCTCACCCCAGTTCTACCACCGCCGCGACAACGCAAGCGAGTACGACAGTCAATGCGCATTACAACGGTTTTATGTTATTAATACGGACGCATTGGCTGGGATTTGAATAATTGAATAGATCCGCGCGGATTCGCTACGTTGGCACCCTAGGTTGGTTGGGTGGTTGGTTGTTCAGGAAGGTAGGTATAGGTATGGCTTTCTCTCTCTCTCTCTCTCTCTGTCTCTCCCTCCTCTCTCTCTCTCTCTCACGCGCGCGCGGTCTCTCTCTTTCTCTCTTACACTCCATCTATCTATCTACCTATCTCAATGGTCTCTCTCTCTCTCTCTCTCTCTCTCGCTCCCTAGCCGCGCGCAACCGCCATAATCCAGATATACCGACGCCTGAGCTTCCGCGTGGGGTTCATCGCGCTCGGATTGGCGTTTGCGCTCGTCGTTTGATCCCGCAACGTCGACAAATCGATTCGATTATTATTTAAAACGACACACGAGTGAAGCATTTATTGGTGTCTCGGGTTTAAGTCCTCCATGGACGAAAGACTGAATACGGATTAGAAGTATCGCATGCTCGAGAACCGCCCCGGCGCCTCGATGTTTACCCGGGGGAAGATTGGCTCCGAGACCATTGGACAATCTGCCGGCAAAATTGAGGTCACGAGCTGTGAGATAATTTCTCCAAGATTTCTAGAACATGGAGTTTAGAATTGCAGCTTGTTCAAACGGCGCACGCGGTAGACGCATAAGATGCGCCGTTTGATTGAATGGCGTGGAGTTTAAATAAAGGGTGAGAACATTATTTTTCTTGGTAGAAGAAATGAGGGATTGGGAACTCTGAGGCTGTTTGCCTAAACGTATCTTGGTTCCACCAAGTCACTCGCGGATATCCGCTGCTGATCTTCGAGACGCTTCGAGACAATTAGGCCATTTACCCCATTCGTCCCCTTCGAAGATTTCCCTTCTCTCGTTCCCCTTTCACGATTGGATCTTCTGCAAAATTGTGTCGCTCTATCGTTCAATAAATTCTGCCACGTGACGATACCAACTGAATCTTCGGCTTTACGAAATATCGTTGCGCCGCGCAAACGTTTTCGCGATCGTCCAAAATCAGATCGGGGTCGGGAACCTCAGCAACCCCCGGGCCGTTCTGAATTACGGGTCGCGCAGCTACGAAGCGAGCTCTTCTTGACGCGTAATCTCCCCCATTTCTTGAAAACGAGGGTCTAAGATGGTTTGAAAAAATAAGCTGCCGAATTCGATTCCCTACAGACCCGCTGCCGTCAGTGAAGACGACGATGACGAAGCGGGAGATTCGGTAACCCCCGTAATATGCATCGGCAAATATGTCATTCGCTTCCGTGGTCCTCTCTCTTTCTCTCTCCTTCTCTCTCTCTCTCTTTCTGTGTTGCTCCGTCCTCTCCCTCTCTCAGCATCAGAGAGTTATTTCGCGACCACCCTCCGCAACGACGACGCGCGTTGCCTCGTGTGTCTGTTAGCCGCGGCGCGGCCGAAAGGGGTGTAGCATCGCCGTGGCGGCGGCATCGTTGCGCGACGTGACGTCTCTCCCACCCCTGAGCGGCGTCGCGACGCGATCGCACCCTCCTCTAGCACCCTCACCGGTCCTCCGCCGCCCTCTTTCGCGCGCGCTCCCGTTTCCGTGACGCGCTCGTGTTCACGCTCCGGGGGGATACCTCTGCCACCACCAAGGGGTGGTGGAAAAGTGGTCGGAGCCAGGCACAGCCACGCCCCGGTCGCGGACAACGCACGCCAACCCGAGGGGCCAGCCGAGGGTGTCTCTGTCCGCCACCGATACGGCGGTCGCGGCGGCTGCGGGCCACGGGGGTGGCTTTCGGTGTGCGCGACCGGGACCGAAGGGAAGGAAGAGGAAGCGCGCGCGTCCACGCGGCACCAGCGCGCTAGCCGCCACGCTATGGCTAGTCCTCGGATATCCTTTATCGGAGATGTCACTTTGTGTCGGCGACGTGCGACGCTAGGCGCGATCGGTCACGCCTCGGCGCCTTGGCGGCGGCTTAACGATATAAGTGGATAAAGTGGTCGACGGGTCCACAAGAGGAGTCGCACGGAGGCACCTCGTAGCTCGCGAACGGATTTTTCCTTGTTTTTGGTTGCCACCTGATTTCGGTCCTTTTCCCGATCACGAGCACGCAGTTCTTGTTACAATCGCCGGCATATCGTGAGGACGCGACGGATCAGAGCTACATAATTAACTGCGTGATCGCGTAAACTCACCCCCGCGACTTCTTGTCAGAAACCAGCGACTCGGCATGCCGCACTGAACGTGTCTCGCGCTCTAGAAGACGACGAGCTTCATAGATCTCTCTCTCCTTGTCTCTGTCTGTTTCTCTCTCTCTCTCTCTCTCTCTCTCTCTCTCTCTCTCTCTCTCTCTCTCTCTCTCTTTCTGTCTTTCATCGAGACGAAATCAAGAAAGATCCGCGGTTTGCCCTACGAAGTCCGACTCCTACGATGCGAACGGAACCGCGCCGCGCTGTTGGAGAACAAGGCTAGAGCTGGGAATAGACAGCTCGCTGCTCACTGGCGCATCTCCGTGGACAGGTCGCCCCGAAGGGGATCACTCAGCGGCCGAGCTCGCCGGGTCATCACCGATACGTTCCATCACGAGCTGCTCGTAACATGGTAGAGAGCACTTATGCGAGCGACTCGCCACGATCACGCTCTCCCATGACGGAGCCGTCGAGTCCGCTGCACGATGGTCCCGGTATATCCGGCTACAACCACAGCTACCTGTACAGCTACTCGCCCGAGAGCTTCCAGCAGAAGCTGAAGAACGCCGACGGCGTGCAGAATCACGTGTCGCCGGCGGCGAGGCGCAACGACGCCGTCGCCGATGCGCCGCACGTCGACCGCACGTACTCCAGGAGTCCGATCGGCGGCACGGAGGAGGTAACCCGACACGCTGGCAACCGCGAGACCTCGCGACCAGGCTCCTCCGCCACCATGTCGTCCCCCACCTCGCTCTTCACCATCGACAGCATTCTGGCGCCGAGGCCGATCGGCAATGTCGTCAGCCCGACGAGCACCAGCAGCGTCGGCAACTCCGGGGTCATCCAGACACCGGAGACGATCGAGTCGGCCGGCCGCACCGCGGCGATGCATCCGTTGCAACAGCAGCTGCACCACTTGGCGTTCACCTCGGCGGACTTTCTCGGTGGGTACCAAAAGCGCGCGTGTCTTAGGTCGTCGCGGGCCGTGACTCCTCCGCGGGAGCCTCGCCTGAGACGCCGTCGGGACATTTAAAGGCCTGCTAATCCTTTAAACGTCTCGCGAACGCCTCTTTAGACTCTCCCTCTTCTTTCTCTCTTGGGACCTCGCGTCTTTGCCCTCTGCCTTTCATAATCCGCAGCCGGTGGCTGACGCGCGGAAAGAAAAGAGATTTCCCCGCACTTAACGGTCTTGCACACACAATCATAGCGGAAATTATCCAGACACGACAAATTCGCCAAGATGGGTCAGTGACTAGCAAACACTGCGATATCGCATGCGTGTTTGTTTCGATGAGACAGAGAGCTAGAATTTCCGTTCGGAGATCATCTATTTGTTAAATTCAGTAAGAAAGTCTCTCTGTGGCGCTCGTCCAGATTAACTAGTCAGTCATACTTCTTGTTGAAATCGATTATGGTAGACAGAACAGAATAGAGACATACGAATGTATAATCAACACATTCATTTGAATTTTTGTGCTAAAATATTGTTGCTAAAATTCTCTTGCTAAAATATTGTTAAAATATTGTTGCTAAAATTTTCTTGCTAAAATATTGCTAAAATATTGTTGCTAAAATTTTCTTGCTAAAATATTGCTAAAATATTGTTGCTGCAAATTTTATCATAATTTTCCAATAGATAAAAAAGATAAATTTAAACTCGTTTATAATTCTGTCTGAACCAACAAATTATTATTTTTTTTTGAACAGCTAATCATGGTTTGCTGAAAGTGCATTTGTTGCTCTGATTAAAAATTCGCTGCTGCAGCCAAAGTGTTTACTGCTACACGGTTTCATAGAATATATGTCTAGCAGCTGTACTTTTGGGTATCTACACGTTGCAACGAGATTCAATTGATTCTTTCTCTCTGCGACGCGGTCTCGTTCGCGTTAATTTTGCCGCCCTCCCACAGCCGTTTAATTGCGATGCATGAAATACGCGATGTGGATCTTGTTTAACGGGATGTAACGATGCAACGATGCTCGGAGCAGCAGCTGAAGTAGTTGGCATGTTTCGTATGCATTAAACTCGGCAATGCCATATTTAACCAGCTGCCGAACGATGACGTAAACCGAGTCTCTGTGGTATGTTGAGCGATGGAAATTACGACATGTTCGCGCAAATGAAGCGTCCGCGATCGCATGAATCGAGCAATTACTCGGCGTCGATTAATTTACCGCGTGCAGTGGAACGCGTGAATTACGCCCGTTCGATCGCGTTACATTTTCCACGGGCGATATAGCGGCCAATATACCGTCCTCGCTGTTAGGCTACCCGCTGTGAGAGAGAGAGAAAATACCTCAACCGCGAAACGTTTAACAGTTTACGTCGCAAAAATGTAAGACCCCGCGTGAAATCCTAAGAGATTCGATGCCGAACGCGCCAAAATTTCTTTTATGCCCGCCGGAGGCTTTAGGTATTTCTCCCTCAAGGACCGGGCTTTCTCGCATTGGGGATACGCGAGATGAAATCCGCAATCCGTTTCGATCATGCATGAACGATCTAGCTCCTTCGGCAATCCCGCTGGTAGACGGAGAACGTGAGGAAGAAACATGCAAAACGCCTGAGAAAGAGAGAGAGAAGTGCAGAGAGAGAAAGAGAGAGAGAGAGAGAGAGAGAGAGAGAGAGAGAGAGAGAGAGAGAAAGAGAGGACGCCGAGTAAAAGCAGAAATTTTTACCGTCCCCACATTTTCATACGCAACGTCGCGTTTAAGCAGCTTTCTTCGAGATTTTAAAGTAAAACGTCCCCCGGGACGGGGGTGTCGGGCGACCTTTTTATCCTAAATATCGCGAAGGGGGTCGCGAGGACCACTGCGGTTGGCTCCGCCATTGAATTGTAGCATCGCATTTTTGCGACGGAAGCTGCGTCTCGACGGAGGCTCCGTCGCGAGTCATACCCTCGCGCGTTTCAAGGGACAAAACGACTCAACGCCGCGAGTCGCCGGATGTTCACCTCGCGTGTCGTCGCGAAGATTCAATTCGAGCTTCAGTCACAGAGCTCGTGCAAACGCTCGGCGATTGTTGTAATTATCCGCCGCGTTACAATCGACCCGCAAACCCCGGACTAATGTTGTAATCGTAAGCGCGCACGTCAACGTATGAATCTTTAATGCGACGCGGAACGCTTAACGATTAATACGCGGGCGATAATTTGCGTCATCGCCCGTGTACTAAACGAGAAGAAGCCCACAGATGTGAGGACAGAGTTTCAAGCGAGTCGTCTAATCTCGTTGTCGCGTCACTTCCACATTTTTCAGCCGCTGCATATCCAGGACTCTATCCCGGAGGATACGTTGCCGCGATGGCCGCCGCCGGGGTCTCCCTTCATGGACAGCCGGCTTTCTATCACGCCGGCCACCATTATCAAATCAATCCCAACAATCCGGGAATGGGCCCGATGGCGAAGAGGAAACGTCGCCACCGAACGATATTTACCGAGGAACAACTGGAGCAATTAGAGGCCACCTTCGACAAAACGCACTATCCCGACGTGCTACTGCGAGAACAATTGGCCCTCCAAGTCGACCTTAAGGAGGAGAGGATCGAGGTTAGTCAAATTTCTTATTCATTTGGACGCACCAGCTTTCTCTCTCTCTCTCTCTCTCTCTCTCTCTCTCTCTCTCTCTCTCTCTCTCTCTCTCT